TATAAACCTAATGGAATACGTACATAATACGTTGGCAATGTACAATGCTGTAGCTCGCAACTACAACATACGTGTAGGGGCCAGCATAATGCCCTAGTTCTCTAGTGTGACAATCCTGTAGGGACAAGGGAGTCCATAATTTACCGATTTGCAAAAGCAAGTCAAAGTTGTAGAGTGTTCTTGCTCGGTGCTAGGACAAATATCTGCACTCGTCGTTTTGTGTACTGTAATATACTGGTACTCGTCAATCGCTGTAGTGGTTGGACCACGCGTCAAATGGACAATGCACGAGTAGTCGAGATAGATGTCATAAAGTGTCCCAAGCAGGAATGATCAATTTGCCGTGTGTATTGACTAGTGGTTCTGTCACTTTGCATCCCAGAGGTCATGTACACTACAAAAAGGTTGTATCTCAAAACCCACCTACTGTAGGCACGTTCTTCCAAGATCATTTTACTAGTATGGACTAATTTAAAAAATCATATGTCCCTTTTATGGTTTGTTGCACATACTTAGCGCTTTGCGCAGTCACAAGATTTACCCACGAGGGTCGACTCTAACATAGTTGGTCGGAGCTGTCGATGACACGTCCGTGAACACTACTGTATTCTCAGAGCAGTTTGCAAATTGGTCAGGCAGCAGAACGGTTCACTCCAATACTTGTTCTAGTACCGGTAGTATAGAACATCAACAAATCATGGACACAACGCCAAGTATCAAGAGATCTTAGCGTTGTCTGAACACTTGAATCGACGTTGGAGTGAACTTCGGCTCCAACCTGCAGACAGAACGTGTCCGGAACTTGAGCGATACTGGTCGTTGGGCGGTACAGTACAGTACTCGGGTACCACGTACAGCTGTACCGCTTCCACTGTCAGGCAGGGGGGCTCTCAGGGGAAGCGGGGGGGCGGGCGGCTGCCAACATCGCGAAGGAAACCAGACCAAGTTCTAATGATGAGTCCATGGTAAATGTTAAATGAACTTGTGGTTAACGGAATCCAGTAGATCCGATAATTTCACACAACTCTTTAGTCAGGTACTGTCACGACGACCTCTCAAATTGTTGCCTATTTTTGCGGCTAGCCGTTAAATATTATTCCGACACGTCACTTCAGTAGTTAAGGGGATAGGTCGGAAAATGAACAAGTGGACTCGTCAGAATGATGTCTCGACCTATCAATCAACCGAAGTGTCCTTAATGACAAATTGCACAGTTCGTTGGGCTGTATTTTCAACTCGTATAAAGCTCCAAGCACTTCACGTCAAAAGCTCATCTTTCGATTTACTTCGAAGTACCATGCACTCGTCGATCGTGTTTGCTCTGGCTTTTGTTGCGGCGCTGGCGACTGCCGCCTCCCCCGAGGCGCCAGCGCCGAACGCGAACGAATCGCCGGCGGTGGATTCAAAGGACGGCAAGGAATGGCTGGGATGGTACCGTCCATTGTACCGCCCCGTGTTTGCCGTTCCCGTACTACCAATCGTGCCTGTGTATCGTCCTGTGGTTGTGGTCGGGCGTCCCCATCTTCGTCGATGGGAAAGAGCTGCTGAAGACAATACCAAGTCAAACGGGGAATGGGCGGCTGCCCGTGTCGGACCCCGTGGGGGTGCTGTGGTGGTGGCTGGTCGCCCTCGTCGTTACTGGGAAGACAAACAACCCAGCGCGACCCCTTGATACTATTTTGATTAGTGTCGTCTTGACCTAATGGAACATGTTGGGATTTCATTGGAGCGTTAACAGCAAAGCACACAACGCTCGACAGCAATTAACAAGGGTTATTTTGGCATGCGAAGTGGGCGTGAGTTGAAATCCGAGTAATTCCCTCCGCCACCGCTGTCCTTAGAGCCATTGCTGCCAAGTACGTGGCAGTCGACGAAATTCATAACAAACATCACTACACACAAAAACACTACATACGGCACTTCGAGTACTGGTCATAATTTACATTCGACCTACTCATATGGCTACTGTGCGAGACCAACCGCAATTGAACGCGTCTTGCCCAGGCATGGACTGTACTGTACTGTACATAGAGTGGTGAAAATGCTGGATTGCAGCTGAGCATGACAGTGTTATTCATGCGATGATACAATGGTGCACACTAAGGCAGCACCCTCAACATCATATATCGTGCATTGACAGTTGGCATCATTGATGACCGTGCGTGATTATCTGTTGCGAGGAGTTTTCCATATCCATGAACACCCATGACAACAGTGACCATCCTGCGATACAACATGTACTCCTCGATCGTGCTTACCTTACATTTTTATTCCAGCGGCGTTGGCAGATACCACTACTGAGACGCCAGTGTCGAATGCGGATAAACTGCCGGCGGGATTGAAATATTGGCGGGTCGTCTACGGCTTTGTCGTTGCGAAGAAGGGGCCAAGGTAGCAGAAGAAACGTCGTCGAAGGAAGACTAGGTTGTGAGTGATCGCTCGTTGAAGGCTTGTGGCGTATTATCAGGAATACTAGTAAGCTGCAAGCTCACGGCTACGACTGCTTGAATACGTCAGAATGGAATTCAGTAATGATAAACATCTCCACCAAATTCAATTTATCGTGGTTAGTCAAGGTGCTGAAGTACAACATGTGGCTTTTGGGATGCCTCACGTGATTGTCCACTACGTCCTTGGCGGGGAGTGACAAGTGGCAACGCATTCGCGTCTAATTTCTTCAGTGAGTTCGACTGAAACCGATTCACACCCTAACTTCATGGCACCCCCCATCACCAGGCTGAGCACAAAATGTATTACGATATATGGAGGGTGGGTGCTTTCCCTTAGTGTGTAGTTCGAAGAAAACATCGTCTCCACTGCACACACTTTCAATTTCTGCCCCCCCCCGGAAGTGGATAAAACTGTGACTTGGCTTTGCACATCGGTAAAATATATGGGGTCGATCCTCTGGGCCCTACACGTTTGTGAGAACTAAAGTTTCGTATATTCGCAAGGTCTTATGTACGCATTCC